AAGTGAGTCTCCTGCCTCAGCCTCCCAGGTAGCTGGAACCACAGGCGCCCACCACAATGCCTGGCTGTTTTTTGTTTGCAGCCATCATTTTTGTTTTGGTGGGCCGGGGTTGGATTTGAATCTGCCACTTTAGGTGTATGTGGCTGGCACCTTAGCCACTTGAGCCACAGGCGCTGAGCCACCCTTTACTTTCTACTTGCATGGAGCTTAATATTCAGATAGAAAAGTTTGGGATTTTCTCAGGTCTTTTCTGAGCATGTGTTCAGCCCTGACTGTGTGTGTGAAATTCTAGATTCCCTTGTAATCACAGAGCTCTCTAAAGCCTTTTCTTCTCTCATGGATCCTCTGTCCCAGCCTCTTCCTTACCCTGGCTGTTTAGTATGTCTGCTGCTTGTCTCATCTGCTGTCCCTTGCTCCAGAGACTGTAGCTAGTTTATGCTTTCAACAAACACTCCCCAAGAGGCTGTGCCAATCCTGAGAAAGTTCTGAGGTATATAAAACAAAGGCAACCCCCTGAGGGAAACCTTTAGGCAGCCACCAGACAGGTTCACACAACCACAATTATTTGATAACAAAGCCTTTATTGTACCTGCTGCAATAACTGGGGGAAAAATCACATTCAACTATAGAGTTGAAAATGACTTCAATATTGAACGAAGAAATCATTTAGATTTTTTGTCTAATAAGTGGGGGTTGGAGAGTGATCATTCAATACTTATTTATCCTAATATATATTCTAATTCTAGAATTTGGACTTATATCAAGATTCTCTGAAGGACAACAGCTCTTAAGCATAGCCACTGCAACATAATGGGCCAAGACAAAGAACTTATTGTCAGAAGCTTCCATTTTGTTTGCATTATGACCGTAATCATTGGAACCATAAGCCACTTCTCTGATGAAAGTGAATTTGCAATAACCATGTCAAAAATAGGCCTTACTCATATTCCAAAAGACCTACCACCAAAAACCAAAGTCTTAGACATATCTCAAAACAACATATCTGAGCTTCAGATCTCTGATATCAGCTTTCTGTCAGGGTTGAAAGTTTTGAGACTTTCCTATAATAGAATCCAGTGGCTTGATTTTAGTATTTTCAAGTTCAACCAGGATTTGGAATATTTGGATTTATCTCATAATCAGTTGCGAAAGATATCCTGCCATCCTATTGTGAGTTTCAAGCATTTGGACCTCTCATTCAATGACTTTGATGCCCTGCCCATCTGTAAGGAATTTGGCAATTTGACACAACTGAATTTCTTGGGATTAAGTGCTATGAAGTTACAACAATTTGATCTGCTGCCAATCGCCCACTTGCATCTAAGTTACCTCCTTCTGGATTTAGGGAATTACCATGTAAAGGAGTCAGAAAGTCTTCAAATTCTAAATATAAAAACACTTCACCTTGTTTTTCATTCAAATAGTTTATTCTCTGTCCAAGTGAACATATCAGTTAATACTTTAGGATGCTTAAAACTGACTAATATTAAGTTGGATGATGAGAACTGTGAAGTTTTAATTAAGTTTTTGTCAGAGCTCACTAGAGTTTCAACCTTACTGAATTTTACCCTCAACCACATGGAAACAACTTGGAAGTGCTTGGTTAGAGTCTTGCAGTTTCTTTGGCCCAGGCCTGTGGAATATCTCACAATTTACAACTTAACAATAGTTGAAAGCATTGATGAAGAAGATTTTACTTATTCTAAAACAGCATTGAAAGCACTGACAATAGAACATGTCACAAACAAAGTGTTTCTTTTTCCGCAGACCGCATTATACACAGTGTTTTCTGAGATGAACATTATGATGTTAACCATATCAGATACGCCTTTTATACACATGCTTTGCCCTCAGGCACCAAGCACATTTAAATTTTTGAACTTTACCCAGAATGTTTTCACAGACAGTGTTTTTCAAAATTGTTTCACATTAGTTAGATTGGAGACACTTATCCTACAAAAGAATGGATTAAAAGACCTTTTCAGTGTAGGTCAGATGACTAAGAACATGCCATCTTTGCAAATACTAGATGTTAGCTTCAATTCTTTGGAATCTGATAGGTGTGAGGAAAATTGCACTTGGGTTGAGAGTATAGTGATGTTAAATTTGTCTTCAAATAAACTTACTGACTGTGTTTTCAGATGTTTACCTCCCAGGCTTGAGGTACTTGATCTTCACAGTAACAGAATAGAGAGCATCCCTAAAGATGTCACTCATCTGGAAGCTTTGCAAGAACTCAATGTTGCTTTCAATTCTTTAATTGACCTCCCTGGATGTGACACCTTTAGCAGCCTTTCTGTACTGGTCATTGACCACAATTCCATTTCCCAGCCATCAGATGAATTCTTCCAGAGCTGCCAGAAGATCAGGTCAATAAAAGCGGGGAACAATCCATTCCAATGTATGTGTGAACTAAGAGAATTTGTCAAAAATGTAGGCCAAGTATCAAGTGAAGTGGTAGAGGCCTGGCCTGATTCTTATAAGTGTGACTATCCTGAAAGCTATAAGGGAATACCGCTAAAGGATTTTCACATGTCTGAATTATCCTGCAATACAGCTCTGCTGATGGTCACCACTGGGGCCATCATGCTGGTGGTGGCTGTTACTGTGACCTTCCTCTGCATCTATTTGGATCTGCCCTGGTATCTTAGGATGGTGTTCCAGTGGACCCGGACCCGATACAGGGCTAGGAACGTACCGTTAGAGGAACTCCAAAGAGCTCTCGAGTTCCATGCCTTTATTTCATATAGCGAACATGATGCTGCCTGGGTGAAGAATGAATTGGTACCTTGCCTAGAAAGAGAAGATATACGGATTTGCCTCCATGAGAGAAACTTTGTTCCTGGCAAGAGCATTGTGGAAAATATCATCAACTGCATTGAGAAGAGTTACAAGTCTATCTTTGTTTTGTCTCCCCACTTTGTCCAGAGTGAGTGGTGCCATTATGAACTCTACTTCGCCCACCACAATCTCTTCCATAAAGGATCTAACAATTTAATCCTGATCTTGCTAGAACCTATTCCACAGAACATGATTCCCAGCAAGTATCATAAGCTGAAGTCTCTCATGATGCAACGGACTTATTTGGAATGGCCCAAGGAGAAAAGCAAGCATGGACTTTTTTTGGCTAACATTAGAGCTGCTTTTAATGTGAAATTAATACTAGACACTGAAAATGATCATGTGAAAATTTAAAAAATGTCAAGAAATCCATTAGCTTGCCCTCTGATGAACACTATGGTTCTAAGTCACTGTGTGGGGGTACCTATATTATCCCCATGTCTTCAGAAAAGACTTAATAAAAACTGTGTTTCAACAGGGGAATTAGGCTGGGGCATGAGGTGGTGCTCAACCTCCCAATGAAATGCAGCTCATTCCTTCTTTTCCAAATTGAGGCAGTCTCTTTTGAGCAAATTCTCACTCTTTAAAAGGTTCCTCTCTCTGGTCCTTTCCCAAATGGATTTTTTGTGATCAGGAGAAAACAGTTAACATTAGAATTGTATGCACTGGTCCTTGGCGTGTTCTGTGGCTCCTCATTGGGCTCTGGGTGAGCTTTATCATTTGGTTCAACTTTAGGGCTTAGGAAAAAAATTAGCTATGGGATATAAAAAAGTATTTTGTTTTACATCTGTGTGATCATTTCTTTAACTTTTTACTCTGCTACACATATTACTCTGCTACAAAATTAACCAGTGGGGATTCATGGGATAATGATATACATATATAGAGGGAAATATGGACTTAGTTATAGCATGTTGAGGTGAAAGACATAGATTTACCTGCTTGCCAAGGAAACTCAGAGGCAAATTTATTTGTCTCTGGATAATGATTGAGACTTTTCTGATTGTGTTAGAATTTTGGCTAAAACCTGAAAACTGACCAAGGATGGTAAATGCTTCCACAGTTCCAACAGAGAACACTAGACACAGCCAGCTGGACTTACCAAGAAAGAGACCAGGAATTTTTAACCCTATTACTCAACTCCAGAAGACTAGATTCAAAATGGTGATTAGAGAGTCATTCAATGGAAGTTTTAGGCCAGTGGTGTCCAATATTTGGCTTCTCTGGGCCACATTGGAAAAAGAAGACTTGTCTTGGGCCACACATTAAATACACAAACACTAACAAGAGCTGAAAAAAGCCTGTGCCTGATTTTCATGATATCTGCCACCACAGATAACCAAAAAAGTCCTTAGATAGTAATTCTAACTATGCATCAGTCTGTTCAGAGAGTCTTTTAAAATAGTTGAGTTGGATTGGTGCCTGTAGCTCAAGTGACTAAGGTGCCAGCCACATACACCAGAGGCGGTGGGTTCGAGCCTAGCCTGGGCCTGCCAAACAACAATGACAACTACAACCAAAGATAGTTGGGTGTTGTGGCGGGTGCCTGTGATCCGAGCTACTTGGGACCACAAGGCATGAGAGAATTGCTTAAGGCAAGAGAATCGCTTAAGCCCAGGAGTTGGAGGTTGCTGTGAGCTATGATACCACTGTACTTTACCCAGGGCAACAGCTTGAGGCTCTGTCTCAAAAAAAAAAAAAAATAGTTAAGTAGGTCCCAAGTTTGTGATCACTAATGTAAAAAAATGTACATATTTAAGTAATAAAACATCTTTCTTTGTATTTTTAAATTATAAATGTAAAAGAAAAATGGACCATATAAAACTCGTGAGATAACTGACACTTTTTCAGAGACTGATGCATCAGTATCTTGTTCAAAGGAAGTAGTTGCAATTCTCAGTGAGTTCTCAAGATGCTCATCAGATAATTTGGTTCTAATTTCACTCTTAATGGTGCTTCATTCTGGAAAATAGTTGCTAGCAAATGTAGGTGTTGCCACAACGCAATGGCATGAATAAAGCATGATTGTGAAGTGAGGAATATTTGTCTCTGCGAAGACAGGACCTATGAAAGTCTAGTAAAGGACATGATCACAGTTTTCTTTAAGTTGAATGTCAGATTGCAGCTCTATGCACTCCATATGAAAATTGACAGGTAAACTATTTATGTTGAATGAAGGTGGAGTCACAAATGCACCAAAATATTGATTATTTTTCTGGAAATCTTGAAATCTATTTTCAAATTCTTATATCAAATCAAAAAGCATGGCTGGTATTTTTTGTTGTTCACAGGACTGTGTTTAGCCAGTGTGTTGAAATGTATAAAATTGTTTGTCTTAATTTGAGCTTGGCATAATTTCAGTTTATTTTGGATTATTGTTATGGTTTGAAACATTGTATTCTTGGTTTTCACCTTGAAGATTCATATTTAACTCATTTATAAGTGATTAAATCCACTAAAACTGCTAAATCTATAAGACAGTCTATTGTCAAGTTCTGGCACAGATTTGGTTTTTGATACCATGAACAACTCAATAACATGTCCAAAATCATAAAATCTTTTCAACATTTGGCCGTGACTTAACCATCTTAATTTCTGAAAAGTTAATGATGTCATCACATCAGTACTTTCAAGGAATTCCTGGAATTGGCTATGATTCAATCCCTTGGCTCTTATGAAATGTATAGACTTGATGGTGATTTGCATGATGTTATCCATTTTTAAAGATTTTGTGCATATACTCTTGGAGGCCAAGGCAGGTGGATTGCCTGAGTTCAGGAATTCAAGACCAGCCTGAGCAAGAGTGAAACCCTGTCTCTAAAAAAAATAGGTGGGTGTTTTGAAGGGTGCCTGTAAATCCCAGCTACTTGGGTGACTGAGGCAAGGGTATCATTTGAGCCCTGAGAGTTTGAGGTTGCTGTGATCTATTAAGCCATGGCACTCTACCAAGGTGACAAGGTGAAACTCTGTGTCAAAAACAATTTTTTTTGTGTGTATAAATTCTCTTGATGTAATATGTAATGATACTTCATCAAAGTATACTTCATCAAAGCTGAGTTTTGGATGGCAATTGCATCATCTTCCTTCAATTTTACAAGTCCTTCTTTTTTACCTACCATTGCCATGGCACCATTGGTGCCAACCTACCAGATATGTTGACAATGGACAAAGAAAATTGCTTTAACATATTTTTTACTGGTTAGTATAAATCTCTTCATTTAGTTATATCTTTTTTTTTTTT